GAAATGTTGCCTTGGCATCTAACTGAAATAAACTAAGCTAAGTTTTTATATATATATATATATATTATTTTATTTCATTTCAGTTAACATTTATATTATTTCAAGTAACAAAATAGATTTTTATGGTTTTAGTTAAATATAATAACCCTATTTTATTTGATTATTTATTTTATATAAATTTTACATAGAAAGAGAATATTAAATAAAAAATAATTATATATTATTATAAATAAGTATATTATATATATATATATATATATGTGTGTGTGTGTGTGTGTGTGTGTGTGTGTGTGTGTGTGTGTGTGTGTGTGTGTGTGTGTGTGTATGTGTGTGTGTGTGTGTGTGTATGTGTGTGTATGTGTGTGTGTGTGTGTGTGTAATGCCAAAGTTGCAGTTTAAAAGTATTTTTACATTTCAATGTTTTATGACAATTATTCGAAGAAGAAGCAAAAGCCTTCTTTCCAAACGCAGTCCTCATATTAGGGATAAGAATTCATACTCTATCAACTGAAAGCAGGCTGTAATACGAATCTGATTGAAAATTAGCATAACCTGCAAAATACGAAAGCAAGGAACTGATTTGTACTTTACAAACAAAGTTGAAGCCATTTAACCTTTGCATACAGACTACAATGAGTTACACTGAGTAATTACTTTAATCACAACATGGTAAACGGTGAAGCATCTGCAAAGAACAAACACCAGCATATCTGTATAAAATATCTAGAAAAGTAGGAGCAACTTGTTTCTAATTTGCAACAAAAAATATAATAATTTCTAACTCACTTTCATAGATCAATATGTTCTTTAAAAGACAAACTGTCATCAAGTGCAATCATATTTAGAGGTTGAAACAATCTCTGTACCCCGAGCAGAGCAATAAAACTACGCTAGACTGCGCTGAAGCCAAAGATGGAGTATCATTATACATGTGCTCATTATGTAAGATTTGTAATGACTCAAATGTCTAGAACATGAGGGCAGAAAAAAAAACATACCATTTATTAGTTTGCTGGATTTTCAATTCCAATCTACAAAGCATGCATATTTAATGTCACGGAAATGATATTTTTCCATCTTCAATGCAAGACCGTCAGACGAGCACAAGAGGTGAACTGTTGTTTCTGAACATTTGGTAAGAATTCAGCGAACCTGATGTTGCATTCAAATATTGCAGATAATCAAAACAGGACAGTGTAATTAACTCTGGGTCACAGATAAAAAACATCTATTCTTTTCCACGCCTTACTAACAGTTTTCCTGAACAGCAAAGTGCATTACGTGCTTCTGCTTGCCCTCAGCAAATTAATTTCATTGTGTAAAGAAAAAAGAAACGTGATGCGAATACACCACGAGAATGTACGGCAAAAAGGGGAAAAAACGATGGACACATAAAGCAAAGAAGGAAAGTGAAAAAAATTAGGGTTGAGGGTTTCTTACCCCTGCAGCAAATCCCAGACTGCCATCCAGGATCCGCTTCTGTGAGGAGGAAAGAAAACTCACTGTAAAAACTAACATTGAAGTAAAATTTATGGTACAAAAAGAGAGAGAGAGAGAGAGAGAGAGAGAGAGAAATCAACAGCTGTGGTTGCTAACATTTTTCTTAAAAAATACACAGCACAACCATTTTAGGTTTTACAGATTGAACTTAAATTTACAGTAAAAATTTACATTTCATTAACTAATATAATGTTAATATACCAACCGAGTGACCTAGTGGAATACAAAACACGCAATTCTAAAATAATGCATAAACATTAACATGTTACATAAAGCCCTAAATTACATAACTGATATAAAAAAAAAATTTTTTTTTTAAAGGCATCGTTATTTCAAACAGAAAATTCTGGGAATGTTAATTTACATATTTTTACTGTAAATTATATGATGACTTGCCATTTTTCACTGCCATAAACTGTACATTTAACAGTATTTTACAATAAAATGAGAGAGAGAGAGAGAGAAATCAACAGCTGTGGTTGCTAACATTTTTCTTAAAAAATACACAGCACAACCATTTTAGGTTTTACAGATTGAACTTAAATTTACAGTAAAAATTTACATTTCATTAACTAATATAATGTTAATATACCAACCGAGTGACCTAGTGGAATACAAAACACGCAATACTAAAATAATGCATAAACATTAACATGTTACATAAAGCCCTAAAGTACAAAAAAATTTTTTTAAAGGCATCGTTATTTCAAAAAGAAAATTCTGGGAATGTTAATTTACAGATTTTTACTGTAAATTATATGATGACTTGCCATTTTTCACTGCCATAAACTGTACATTTAACAGTATTTTACAATAAAATTATATGAAATGTCCTGTTAGATCAAATGTTTACTGTATATAGTAAGCGAACTGTTAACCAATTAACAGATTTTTAACTTAGTTGAGTTTACTGTTAAAATTACAGTTAAACACTGAAATCTTCACATTATTAGTTTCATTCACCTTGACTCTTATAAAATTTTAAATTACGAATTTAAAAACTCAAAAAAAAAATTTTTTGTAAAAGATGTAATTAAAAATATACATATTTTCACCATTTACTCTATGCCATTTATGTTGTGCCAAACTCATTTTACTTGCAGAAATATGCATTAAAATGTCCTCATTAAAGGGAAAGTTCACCCAAAAATTAATGAAGGCATCATTTAATCACTCTCATGTTCCAAACCTGTTCCTTCTGTTGAACACAAAAGAAGATCAGTTGAAGAATGCGGGTAACAAACCTGCTTCTGGCAGCCATTGACTTTCATAGTATGGAAAAAGAAAAGGAGTTCAATGGCTATCAGCAACTATCCCTTTAACTCACATTTGCAGTACATTCTTCACAATATCTTCTTCTATGTCGAGCACATACGATGACAGAATTTTAGCTTTGAACCATCACTTTAAGCGTCTCTCTGCACGACTCTAAATTAGATTAAAACCCTGTCTGACGTAACCCGTCTCACCTGTCCGCTGGAGAAGACGAAGACGAGAGCGGCTCCAGCTGCGGTGAGGCCCCAGGTGAACAGGGTCCCCAGCAGGGCCTGAAGCACGGGACTGACGCCTGCGATCATGATGCCTGCTCAAATGAAACACACAGAGACGGAGGATGCCGTTTATTCCTCCCACAGACGGGTGTGTGAACCAAATCCTGTTTATCCAGGATATCTGCAAACACTGCTGCTCTATGCATTAAAACTAGCACATTTACATAACCATTATGCTTATTCACAGGTAGAGCTAATGGCAACAGATATAGTTTATAATTACTGCCCATTTAAACCATAATGTTTGTTTACAGGTAGAATTAATGGCAATTACAGTTTGTAATTATTGTTTAATTTCTGCCATATTTGTGTTACATTATATCTACTGTCAGTTGAGTGAGTGCAACAGCTGTCATTACGCATGCATCAAATAAACATTTAACTAACTCTGCAGTTTCTTCTGTATATGAATGTTAAAGCAATCTCTCAAAACACATAATAATTTAAATGCAGCGCTATTTTGATGAAACCACACACACTGAAAGACTCCTGTAACATGTATCTGCTCTTGCATTTAAATATTTCAGTATTTCAAAAACACACACACGCCAAAAAAAAGAAGAAAAAAAAAGAACCGATAACAGTTGTGTGGTTTCTGGGCTTGTTTTCATTCATTTTACTGCCGCAGAATACACTGCTTACTATTAAACAGTACTTACTGTTCAGAGGCCAGCTTCACTTCCTGCTTCCCTGTGTACACGTGTCTGTGTTACAGCCGAAGTCCCGCCTCCCTCGAGCTCCTATTGGTTCATTCACAGATTTAAAGTGACCGCGTCAGCTACTTTCCAAACACAGGTTAACGCGTGAAGTTTACAATTGACAGAAAAGTTGTACAGCTGAATACTGTTGTGAACTCGTGGATTATGTCTTTTTCTTTTTTGGAAACTTATATTACGAGAAAATGGTGCCTTTGGGGAAAAAAATTTATAAATCAATCAACCAATCAATCAATAAATGCACTAAAAACATAATATCATTCAAAAAAAATTGAATTTACTTATTGATATGGTGACCTGCTTCTGTATACTGTATAAAAAAAAGAAATTAGCTACAAGTTTTCGAACTTGCAGCTAAATAAAACAGATTACTGGAGTGTGTTTTACGAGAAAATACAATTTCAGTCTTTCAGCATTTCCTTTAAACGTTTTGGCTGCGGCTTGGTAATTATTTGTGGAATTTACTAGCAATTTCTGAGTGAAAGTTATTTCAAAGTAAAAAAAATAATAATGTTTGGTGTAGTCTATACAGAATAATAAATTAATGATTTATTCTGGATACATTTGCATGTGCTCTGATACTTTCACGCTGCTTTATATTCAAGTGACCCGAGTTTGAACCCCTTTTAAATCATATTCCAATCCCATGAATGATACAATTATAAAATGTAATACTTTTTATATTGCAGTATTTCTCTAATCAACCTTTTCCTATCTCTAGTCCATTATCTTTTAATTTTTGGCATGTGCTTTAGCACCTTTCTATTTGCTCTTCAGTTATTGCTCTGCTTTTATCTTTCATCTCTTTTCTCATTTATTTGATCGAATTTCTTGTTTGATAACGGCAACTCTTTTGGAAATGCATTTGGTTAAGTATCCTGCACTGCTTCTTGTCTCTTGAAAATAACTGACTTCCATCAAACAGAACACGATTTCCGTATTATTTTCTTATTAATACATGAAATACTTTGAGTAGATTATACTGGATTTCTCATCAGGTTGCAGGTCATAGACTGTCAACAACAAATTAGTCAAAATGCAACATAACAAATAAAGCGGCGCTCAATTTTATGTGCATTTGAGATTTGTAATTCAGTTTAGGATGAAAGATAATCCATAAGAAATTCGATCAGAGAACAGAAATGAAAGATAGAGGGGGAGTCATTTCAGTAGTGCTTGAAAAGCAGAAATAATGGAACTAATTAAAAAAACACACATGCAACAAAAACTTGAAAGACAAAGAAATAAAGAGATGCACAGACGAGACCAGGAACGTGTACTAAAGCTTTCTGAAGCAACGGTTTCAGAACATTTTGAATCATTCTAAAGCAGTTACAATTCTTAGAAACTACAACTTAATGTTCCGTATGTTCCTTGTTACGAGCTACAAGAAAACTCCAGCCCAGAACAGTGAAACCAAATGCCGGCCATGTAGATTTATTAGAGAGGAATGGATACCTGTCTTCAAGTCACTCGAGGCCCTTTAAGACCTCTAAATAAGCTCAGCCTACAAAGCATTTCCAAGTTTACATTAACACGCCAAATGAAAAGTTCCAAGTTCTAGGAATGATTTCATGGAATTGGGAGTAGAGTGATCTCCAAAACATTCTGCATATTGCATAATGACAAATCTGCCACGAAATCGGTGCTTGTCACCGAGGTGAGTATAACCAGTACCTCCCTCAGTTGCTGTTATCCTGGGAAGCTCACTGTGAGAATTGCGGCATTCCAAGTATGCGTGTCAGAGGAGGAACAGGACTGAGGTGATCGCTCATTACTCTTGCCCTTTTATCTGCAACCGTCTCCACCCACCGAGGCCTTGCGCGTGATAAATGATTCACTGACCGACAAACAAAGACAATCAGAGGGAAATATTAACACTGAAGGGGGGAACGCAGCACATTAAAACAAGCAGAGGGAGAGATTCATCACTCATCCTTTGGGGACGTATTTGGAAAGTGGGTGGCCCAGAGGGGAAGTTGGGGGTTGATCGGCTCAGATTGACCCCCCACTGAACTGCGAGGAAACAGAGGGGTGGAGAGAAGGAGGAAAATGAGAGGGAGTGAGCAAAGGAGTGTGAAAGAAAGGCTGGATGGACCTTCTGACAAGGGTGTTTAGTTATGAAAACAAAAGTATTGTAACAGATGGCACCCTGGAAACCTCATAACAGCGGATTGGAACGAGCCAGCGCAGCTTATGAGAGTCAACGGATGACTTTAGACACACACACACACACACACACACACACACACACACACTCTGGACGCTGCAGGGGGGATGTATAAGATCTCACTTGGAGAGTCAAACACCCACTAGATTTCTGCTTTGGAGTCTAGATCTTTCAACAAATATCCTACCACTCATTTGAGTTGGCCGTTTGTTTTTCCTCCAAGCTTATGCTGACATTGCTTCAAAGACCAACCGGGGACGTTCTTGAGATGGGAAAATAAACCAGCTTCAAGGACAAGGTGGATGCAAACCTGTGGAGATCAAGAACTAATTTAGGCAAGATCTGATACTCTTGATCTTCTCCTGCAAGGACTATAAACTACAAACGTTTTTTTGGCCAGAAAATTTGTCAAGTTACAATACATTTCCGCAACTTCTGCAAGGACTGTAAACTATTTTCTTCCAGAAATCTTGGCAATTTTTTAATAAGTTTGAACTCCTGCGAGGACTACAAACCATTGTTTTTCAGAACTTTTAGCAATCTCTAATACGTTTGAACTTCTCCTGCAAGGACTGACAACCATTTTTGACATTTTGGCATGCTCTAATGCATATAAACTTCTTCTGCGAGGACTAAAAATTATTTTTGACCAGAAATTGTAGCAAGCGCTAATGCATTTGAACTTCTTCTGCAAGGACTGCAAACCATTTTTGACATTTTGGCAAGTTCTGATACTTTTGAACTTCTCCTGCAACAACTATACCAACAATTTTTTGACATTTTGGCATGCTCTAACGCATATACACTTCTTCTGCAAGGATTACAAACCATTTTTGACATTTTAGCAAGCTCTATTGCATTCAAACTTCTTTTCCAAGGACTACAAACCATTTTTGACCAGAAATTTTGGCCAAATCTAATACATTTGAACTACTTCTCCAAGAACTACAAGCCATTTTTGACATTTCATCAAGATCTAATACACTTGAACTTGAACTACAAATAGTTTTTTTGACTAGAAATGGAAACCGCGAAACCTTTGGGAATGTTTTACGACAATGTTTCGATTCTAGATCTGGACAGCGCTGCGATAAACAACGTCTACATTCGGGAGGACTTCGATGCTTTCAGCGTCACCATGGCCGTCTTGTACCTGGCCGTGTGCATTGTGGGATTGGCCGGGAACTCGCTGGTCATCGTCACCATTCTGAAACTGGACAAAATGTCTTCTGCGACCACCGTCTACATTTTCAACTTGGCTTTGGCGGATGGACTCTTCATGGTGGGACTCCCGTTCATCGCCATCCAAAACTTCCAGGACCAGTGGATCTTCGGAGATGCTGTTTGTAAGCTGGTTATGGTTCTGGATGGCATCAATCAATTCACAAGTGTGTTCTGCTTAACGGTGATGAGTGTTGATCGCTATATGGCTCTGGTAGACCCGCTGCGTTTCGCTCGCTGGCGGACGCCGCGTCGGGCGAAGATCATCGCCGCATTAATGTGGTTCATCTCTCTGTTTCCAGTGCTTCCAATGGCTATTCACTTTTCCGCCACCTACGGTTTGTGCACCGTTGACCCTCATATTGCATCTGAGTCCTGGTGGTTGGCCTTTCTTAGCTACACATTCGTACTGGGCTTCGCCTTGCCGTTCACCGTAATGATTGTGTTTTACACGGCACTTCTAGTGACTCTGAGAAACGCCAGACAGCAAACGTCTTCTTCAATGGAAAGTCACAGGTTTGAGACACAGGTAACCAAGATGGTGGTGGCGGTTGTTTTGGTGTTTGGCATCTGCTGGCTGCCGTTCTACGTCTTCAACTTTTGCTCCCTGCACCGAATAGACCTGGTGCTCGATTTCACGCGTGGCTTTGAGTTTGTGGTGCTGCTGTCGTACTCGTGGAGCTGCGCCAATCCAATACTGTACGCATGTCTGTCGGAAACATTTCGAAGGCATTTCCACGCCCTCCTCTGCCCTCACAAGAGCTCACGGACTCACTTTGACAGAGACACCGAGGGGTTTGTCTTGCACGACACCAATGTACAAAGCACGCTAGCTTAGTACGTCTCTGTTTACATGTAAATATTTCGAAGGGTTTGTGTTGCAATGCATTCCCACTTTGTAAACAGACAATCCTTGCTTGCCACATTTGTCTGTTACACTGTCTCTGTGATTGCTTTTGCTTCTATGCAATAGAGAAAAAGACATGAGCAGACTGAGTCATGATAAGTGGCGAGTGGAAGTCGATAACTCACCTTATGCTGCAGCAACGCTCTTTTACCACTAAAGCAAAGTTGCTTGCTTTCCATGCAAAGGAAGGGCCGTGTTGTAAAGGATGATTATGTAATTTCTGCTCTACTGTACAATTGCTGTCATACTGATTGTGGACTTCAGGATGGTGTCATGGTTGTCATGGCATCCAGCTTGGACCAAATATTTGAGGACTTTTGTGTGACTGTTGCCGAATGACACATGAAAAAAGAATGTGGTTGTGAATTTGTTTGAAAACAGTTGATAAATGAGCTGTTAATGGGCAACACTGGTTTAAATGACCATGTGTTATTAATTATCTATACAATATCTAAACAGGGTAATGTATATTTTTATGATTTGATTTTTATATATATTTTAGCTAACGTTTTTTTGCTAAAATTCTTTATTTGGTTCGACAGGATGTCACACCAAGAAACCAGAAGTAATTACGCTTTGTAATATATTCTAAACTTATGATTAGAAATTAACAATTTACCCTTGCTTCCAGTGTATCACGGTATTTTGGCAATATTTTATGTTTATGGTTTATGACGATATTTTACTTTATTGCATGTATGGAACACTTGCATATAATCATC